TTCTACAAATTGGCTCCAATGTAAACAATTTCATCAACAGATTATTTCAGTGTAGATACCAAGGTGCCCAATACCCTTATAACTAAATAAAACAAACAAACAAACCCTAGTAGCATTTTATAGATGGTGGAATCTGTATTATATATATATATTTAAAACATGTTTGTACAGAACCAATACCTCTTCTTCTCCATAAAAGACTTGTTAAAAGTGATTAACAAAAAATGCCAATAAATCAATGGAAACTTGTTTCATTTAACTGTGCCTAAGGATAAGACACAAAACATTGGCTGAGAGAGGTAGATTAAAAAGAAAAAGTGAACCAGATTCTCCATTCTTTGTCACTTTTATTCAGTAGTTTTCACCCCTTATTTTCAGTGACAGACATGGCAAGGAAATGATTACAGCCAACTGTTATTAAAACATTTCTTTGGAACATATACCCCTTTTACCACTCCCCCTTATTTATTTATTTATCTATCTATCTATCTATCTATCTATCTATCTATCTATCTATCTATCTATTTATTTAAGGGACGTTGCCTGTCTTAGATGGTCAATGCAAATCCCCAGCCTTACCCGTCATTGAAACTCATTGCAGCAAAAGGCAATGGCTCTGTCTTAGGTTGACTGAGGCTCCACTGATCCTTACCCATCTTTGGCTACACATCCTGCATATGCTGAGGGAGTGTCTTTAGCTGGAGTCCATGAAGACGACTCCACAGTAATTTATTCTGAGCAACCGCCATCCAAAGAAGGCAAGGAAGGAGGAGACAAGCAAAGATGACAAGTATGCCAATAGCGAGAAGGGGACCCCACAATTGAGAGAGGGAAGATATAGTAGGTAACAACTTTTTAAGGTCGCAGAGAACTTGTTTAGCTAGTTCTGCAGGTGTGCTGTCAAGGAGGGGGGGCATAATGCATAGGAATTATTCGTGCATGTAACTCATTCCATTCTCGGCTGATATTCTCAGCGATCCATATTTCGTGCAGGTGGGCCTGCACTATGGGCCAAGGGAAGGCCAAAGCATTATACACAAGTTTAGTTACACAAATGGAGCGGTAATCAGCATGGCACACAAGACGTTGCCAGATCACGACCTGCTCTAAGGTGACAAAGCAGGATCATTATACTGAGGTTCAATTAAGTTCACAGGTAACAGGACAAAAGCCTAATTACAATAATACAATCTGCAATATAACAATGCTTACAATAAATGTTGTAGAGAACCAATACAAGCCAACGTCAAATAAATGGAGTTGTTAGGATATATAATAGTAAAAGGAGTTTCAAGATGATGTTGAATTAAGAATGGCTAGCATAACCATAAAATAGTCAAAACATACGGTGGTTGATGAACAATTTATACAAATAGGAACATCTGTTGAATCCCATTCCCAGTACCTGACAAGCAAAGCAACAAAGAGAGTCTTTGGAGTCGTCTCAGCTTTCTAAAAGTTAACAGTTCTCATAGCATGCTTCGTTAAGCACTTCCATTGTCCTCAGGTGGGGGCAGCCAGTTGTTGTGGAGGAGTTGGTGGCAGACTTGCTAGATTTTGTAGAGACAGACGTTGGAGGGGAGAAATCAAAAGTCCGGCTGTTGGAGCCTGTGGGTGCTGGTGGAGACATGCCTTCAGATGGCTCCTCAGTGAACACTTCCATGCTCCGAGGAGTGGGAAGTGGCCGTATTCTTGCTATAGGGTCGAATTAGTTGGTCTGGAATCTATAGTGTCCTGTGAAAAGACTATCTTTGCCCCTTGGTTAGTAACACATCATGTACTGTCGGAAAAAGCTGCATCAGCAGGTTTAGGGAGAGGAAGAGATTCATTGAAAATCTGCAAAGATCTGAGAGAGGGCCTCCACTCCAGGGCAGGGGTCCAGAACATTACAGAATAAATTCCACGGGGGAAAAGGCTTTTACTGAAACTCTCAGGTTTCTGTTGTTTATAATACTCTGCCTTTTCCCATGTATCTGAATTCACAGCCCTTTCACCTATCTCAAAAGCCAATTGTTTAGCCACACTACTTGCTGCCTTTTCATTAGTCATAGCTGCCTGGAGGCATCAGTTAAAAGGAAATTTTAAATAAAAATTTCATGATTAAGGGAATTCTGAGGTGTGGGGGGATAGTTCTCCCCCTTCTTTATTTTAAGTAAATAAGATTTTAAACATTTAACTTTATTTGTTAAGCTAGTAATCCTTTCTTCCTTACTGATTTTAACCTTTCTAATGAAGGTGAGGTTTGGCCTCCACCTTCCTTTTCCTTGTTCCAGGTTCCATATAGAAATGCTATAAGTTTACTGTATCCTTAGGGGGAAGAAGAGCATCTGGATCGAACTGATTAAACCCAGGGTGGTCCTAGGGAGCTGCCACCATTGTCCTTAATCCAATATTCCCAGAATTTACCACTCCACCCGGAGTGAATACCCCAGGCAGTTCCCCTCCAGAACCTCCCTGCTTAATTCCAGTAAACCTGTCCTTGTTCGTCCTCTGAGGAAGTTTTACTGTCTCAGTTCTAGAGGGAAATTCGGTTTTACATGGATACATAATTTGCTTTTCTATGGTATTATATTCCCCTTCCCCTACTAACATGTCAATGTGGCTCCCCTATTCCGCTGATTGTTGTTAAGGTTTGCTATATGCCGGGCTTCCTCATAATACCCAGATTTCCACAACAAATAATCACCTCCTGCAAGACAGGCACGGGTGATATTCTTCCAATCTAAAGGAGGCAAGGCTTCTTCACAGACTAGTTCTATCAAAGCCTGTGTAAAGGGAGCATTCGGCCCATATTGAACACAAGCCATTTTTAACTCTTTTAAACTTTTAAAGGGTAAAGAGCTGTGGGTGCGAGTCTCCACATCTCTACCGTGCTCATCTTGACCAGCGGGGTTCTCCACAATTGGATACAGTTGAAAACCAGACAACTCATCCCCCTGTCTTGCTCCATCAAGCAACGCCACCTGTATCAGGGAGTATCTTGGGGTAGCTATTTTTACAGTGACAGTGGCAATCACCGGGGTATTAGACTGAATGGTGGCACAGGGGTTCAAGCGTAAGGGAGTCGTTGTTTCTCTTTGAGTTCTAGCCTCTCTTTCTTTGGCTAAGTCAGCAAGGGCAGCGCGCCACTGTTCCTCCTTTTGCTGTATAGTTTCAGTCAATGCTTTCTTCTCTAAAGTTAAATCTTTTAACTGACTTAAAACTATTTTCAGCACAGATCTTAGATCTTCCTCAGGCGTTTCACCAGAAGTTAATGGGTAATTAGACTTGCACATGGGCGCTTCCTATTTTTCCAGCGCCATGTTAGGGTGCAGCCCTTCTTCTTCTGCCTTATCTACTACTGCCTCTCTTACTTCCTTGTCCTTCTGTGTCGGCGCCATTTTAGGGTGTGGCTTCTCCTCTTCTTGTTCCTTCTTTACACTGACTGGAAAAAGAGCACTGACCAGAGAATCTGGCCAGGCTTCATCCCCACTATTATTTTCTGTCTTATCCTCGTGTTTCACATTCCCCAATTCTTTTTCTATGCTCAAAGTCTGTAAAGATTGTAAATTAGGGTATATGGGTATAGATGGAGCTGTTGGTTCCGTGGAACTGCCTACCAGATGATCGCTGCCAAAATCAAAAGTATCTTGGACAACCAGCCACAAACTAAATGTATAGGCAGGCACCTGGGATGGGCCATTCTTAGCATAATATTCTTGCAGTTGATGACCTATCTGATTCCATAACTTAACATCAACCACTCCATCCTCAGGGAACCAAGGACAGACAGTATTTACAAAGTCTATGAATTTACAAAGCCGGCTATTATCTACTTTTGCACCTCTGCTACGTAGCATTTCTCTCAACATCTCTACATACCGTGTTTTTCCCGGTTTGTTACCCATACTTACCTGATCGGATTGCCCTCCCTTCTTTTAATGTCTGCACGTCCTTATTCTTTGGGTCTGTTTTGGAGGGTCCTTCGCGTTATCTCTCGTATTCAGGTCCCACGTTTTGGGCGCCACTTATCGGGGTCCGAGGCCTGCTCAGACCATTGCGCAGGTTTCCTGAAGGAGTGTCGAGGATTAACGAACAGGCAGGGGACACAGCTGATTGCTAGTGACAAAGTTTATTTGCAATCTCAGAGTATATATAGGGTGGTTCTGCAAGTCATTGCTGTTTTGCATAGTTACAAGTCTGTCCTTTACTGTGAATCAGGCAACCTTGGGAAAGCTCAGTAAATCAGGCAACCTTGAGAAAGCTACCTTCCCTGCTGTGTTGATAAGCAGACACTCTCTGGTTAGATGCAACCTTAAAGCTTAGTGAGGCCTGTAAGCCTTTTGGTCCCCAACAACCACTGACCCCAAACTGACTCATTTTGTGTGCTTTCATTTGTTCATTCATTCTTTTTCTTTTCTTTTAAACCACAACTAAGACTGGGTTGAGGGGGCTAAGGTAAGAGATGAAGGGGGGGAGTCCAGGAGCCCAGAAGAAGAGGAATGCTACAAGCCACAGTAAGAATGAGCTGTATTTAATTTTAAAAATGAGGGAGAGGTGTACCCAAGAATTGACACAGTATGAGGATACACAATTAAATCCCATAGCATGACTGAAGGCTTTCATTGTGTTTGATGTCATCACAATAGAAGGCATAAAAAGTGGAATAAATCAATGTTGATACAGTTCAATTTAGTCCATTAGGCAAGATGGTGCAAGAAATCATTTAAATTAAAAGTGTCCTACCCTTACCTAAGGAGTCCTGGTGTGGCACTGTGGGCTAATGAGTCAAACTGCAAAGTCGTTTGAACTGCAAGGTTGGTGGTTCAAGCTCACCAGCTGTTCCTTGGAAACCCTATACAGGGTCACTATGGGTTGGAATCAACTCGATGGCACTTAACAACAACAACAACCTTTACCTAAGGAGCTCTAGTAGTTTAGTGGTTATGAATCTGGCTGCTAACCTCAAGGTTGGCAGTTCAAAACTACCAGCTGTTCCGCGGGAGAAAGATGAGGCTTTCTGCTCCTGTAAAGATTTGCAGCCTCGGAAACCCCACATAGGGTCACTATAAGTTGGAACCGACTCCACGGTACTTAACAACAACAACAACAACCCTTACCTAAATGACTAGCAAACATGGAGAATAGCACAATGATGAACCCACAGAGTTTTCTCCATGTAGTTATAAAAATGGGTTGTCAAATGGCACATTGTTAAACACTGGAAAGGGGTGTCACAATTGACCTCTCTCTTTTATAGGTACAAAATGCTAGATTCAACTATCTCAACTAAGCAGGAAGTGGGCTCTTCTGCTAGGAATGCCAACTCTAATTCACTTTGTCTTCAAGTATATACAGATTGTTTGTATTAGCTACAGCAATGATATTTTCCTTGGGGTGTCAGGCTGTATGAAGTATTGCTACTGGCAAAGACTTTGCGTGGTTTCAGAACTTTGAGAGGTTTATTGTTTTTCTGTGATGCTTCTAGGGTTATGTCTCTCTCTCTTTGTGTTCCTTTCAAACATTCTGAAGACATTAATGTAAGATCCAGTCTTCATAACACTGTCAGATCCATTCCAACAACACTCAAATTTGTCAAATACACAGTCATTTTCATATAGTGAACAAAGTTTACTTTTCAGGTATTCACATATCTGATATGTTTCCACAGGCCTGTCTTCCATCTTTAAATCCCAAATTTTGACAGACAAAAATAGTCTCTAGTCATCATATATAAGCCACTATGGCTGAATTTTACATCAGAAATAGAAGAGATCATTTCGGGAAAAAAAAAGATCTCTTACTGGGATCTTCAGGTTCTTCAAACAGTTTAGAATTTCTAGCACAGAGGACAGATGCACTCATGTCACATAACTGAATTGTTCCTTAACTGCTGCTGTATACAAATGTTTTACAGCTGTTTGGATGGAATTCTGCTGCTATAATCACCTCAGTGAGCTCTTCTGTATTGGCAGGCTAAATGGCCACAATATTAAAACTTCGATCTGTAATTTTTAGTTGCCAAAGATTAATCCTCAAATCATCTGCCGATAAATATGTTTCATAATCACTATTAATAGAAATAGAGTTGATGTGATATGTATGAGCATTGGCAAATATTCTTCGTGTGCTGGTCTCAACCATTAGATCCATGGGCCTAAAGACTGGTACTCAGTAGGGTCTCTATACCTTCCATCTTCCTCTTTCAGAGATTTTCCATAATTTTATTGTTTTATCATTGGTAGATAATAAAAAAAAAACTTAGCAGCATTTTTCTGGGGCAACCATCTACTTTTTTTGTTGATCGTTTCTTCTATTTCTAAACTTTTCAAATAGTCAAACTCTGGTTCACACCTCTGGAAGGTGCTGTAAACATTATATTCTCCTTTGCTATGAGACTGGATTTTGTTCTCCTGCTCCTGTTGAAAGATGACGACACTACCACCTTTATCTCCGATTGCTAGTAATTCTCCAGAATGATTAAATTCTACTTTAGAAATTATATCCGCTTCTGCTACATCATCATCTATGGCTCCTTTTACCTGAGAAAAACACCATTGAATATCATTCCCTCCTCCAGCTCCTGCCATGTTGTGCTGCCAACGGTGACCCTGCTGGGTTCCTCGGGGGTCTCTGCTCCAGAACTCACTCCCCTCACCTGGGGGTGGGGGGGGGGTAGAGAGAACAAATGACACCTGTGGGGGAGAGGTTGGGGGTTGGGGAAGAAGGAAATAAGGGCGAGCAGACCAGCCTACAGGATGGTGGATTTCACTCTGGTGCTTCCCCACTTTTGCTTTTTCTCCAGCTAAGACAATGGCAGCTACGATGGCGGTGGCAGCGACAGGGACAGGTGACTCCACTTTCAAAATGGCACTGGCTGGCCTGACCAGTGATGTGACTTGCCGTCTCTTTCTGGGTAACATAGGTAGAGAAAACTCCCACCCCCAGGAAAAAGGTAATGAAACAATAGAGCTCCTTGAGAACTCAGAATTTCTAAAACCAGCATAGCTCCCCTGGCCTTGAGGCAGATAAAGCAGAAACAAACCTCACAGGTGGTGTGTAATGTGTGATTACAGACCCCAGACATTCTTTAGAATAGCTAATCTAACTATGTACCTTAAGGACCCTTGCACCATTATAACTGATTTATAGTCTTGGTTATTTTAGCTGTGTAAACTGATTTATGGTATTGTTATTCAAATTCATGCAGTCACTCTTACCCTGTTAATTGTCATCTAGTGTTCTGTGAGCTGACTAATCCGCATTTTTGCTTCTGTACTCCCTGCTTCAGCAAATTCCTTTAGATAAGCCCCTAGACTCCGAGCCAAGAACTTAGCATATATAAACCAGCAACCATTTCCCTATGGCACAGCAGGCCTCAAAGAAGTCATTGTCTCCTGCCATCCGGTTATAGCTGTCTGTTGTGCCAATAAAATTCTCTAAATTGGACATTATAGTGGTCATCATCCTTCTTTGGGATTTGAACCTGTAACAGTAAGACCCCAAAGACAAAAAATAGTAACAAAAGTAAAAATAAAACAAATAAACAAAACACCGTAGCAGGCTAGTCCAGTAGCCTTAGCTGTGCAGGTCAGTGTACGTGCACAGTAGAAACCTCCTTCAGTGGTTGGGGGTATCACTTGCTCAGGCTCCCTATCTAGTCACCATTGTGGAGGTGCACAGACAGAGATTGAGAAATGAATGGAAGAAAGATTGGTCACAATTTTATTTCTGAAGATCAGTTAGTTATCTGAGTATGCACAGCGTAATTCTCAAAATGACTGTGTCCTTGTAAATAGTAGTTAGTGTTGGCTCTTACCTTTTATGTTGGGGTTTCATAGGGTGAAAATATGACTTGGCTGTATGTCCAGACCTGTTGTCGCTTGTTAGATATGGCAGGAATAAAGGCTCCCTCCTTGAAGAGTCAACTTCAGGGCTAAATCCCAGATTCAGCTTTCAGCTACTTTCTCTTTGTGCTGTGGGAATATTGTACCCTGTGGGTTCAACGCTGGACCCTTTTGGGAGGGCGCTCCCACCCACATGAAGATACCCAGGCTGGGCAGAGATTGTGCGACAGGGGAGAGCATAAGAGAAGAGGGAAAAAAGTAAAAAAAAAAAAAAAAGTCACATCGCTTTTTCCACAAGTCACTGAGTGGCTTTCACATTGTATTGGGCTGGCTTTTGTCCAGCCCTCTGACCTCTGCCAAGACTGGTGTGCTCAGGCAGCATCTGGATTGATTCAGAAATCAAATTTCTTCTAGCTCCAGTCAGATTCTTTCACCAGTGGACACATGAA